GGTTTTGTTGTTTTTTGTTGTTTTTTTTTTTTTAGTGGTGACAAAATGCAGAAATTCATGTCTTCACTGAATACATGGTTCCAGCATACATGCATGTTTTCCAGGGCATGAAATCAGAAGGATTGCAAATGAGGATACAGAAGGCAGGAATTTTCCATAAGTCACTGAAGGTCCATAATGGCTATTGGCTATTGGGCTATTTAAAATAAAATATCTCTTCTGGATTGTCTGATCCTGCTGCCAGTGCCTTCCAGTGGGGCTGAATCAGGCAGTTATCATCATTGCCATGAAACTCCTCCCTTTCAAACCATCCCTCCAGCCATACTTTGTAAAGCTGCAGTCAAATAATTATCATGTGCAAAAGTACGTGCAGGAGGGGATGAAATTCTCTTCCTAAACATAGCTTACAGCACATCCATTTAAGTGTAAATGCTGGGGTTTCTGGACTTGAAGAGAAAAACAGAATCAAAGGCAAATGTTTACCTGCCATAGATACTGAAGTTTCCTTCATAGTCTCTTTAGTCAAGTACTCCTGGTTAGGGAATTGAAGCTCATTTTTCAGAATGTTGTCCATTTGCTATTTTCTAAATAATTCTTCTTGGTCACATTAAACCTTAAATTAACCCCCACTCCCACCCGTGTGCAATTTTAGCATGATGGCATTAACTGCAGAAGGAACAAAAAAAGCCCTTCAGCTGCCACTTCAGCATGCCCCATATCTTGGATTGTTTTTACTTGCAGCTTTTAAAGTCAGAACAGGCATCCAGCAATAACCAGCCCTTCTTTTTTGCTCTAAGAGACTGGAGAGTCTAAGACTACTGTCTTAAACAAGGGAGTTCTGTGAGCAGGATCAAGGTTGTGCATTTGGTGTTGTAGGTGTGAAGCTCTCATAAGCTGGGCTTGCATTTCTGGGCTTTGTTAAGCCTGGCAGCAAACACTGCTGGGGATGCAGCTGGCAGTGGGCACCTGGAAGGCCTTGCATCAGTACCTGCAAATAGCAGCTTCTGTTAACAGCCACACACAGAGCAGAGCTGAGAGTCTTCATTCCCTTCTAGATGGAGCTGGCATCCATACTGGAGTACAGGCACAGTCCCCAAAAGTTTTTGTGTGGAGTGACTAATCACTTTTCTCCTTAGAACTGGGCAGGGAGGCATAATATGTGTGTGATTACCAGAACATAAAAGGAACACAGGATTATTTTCCATGGGAATCCTTGGGAATGTCTTGGAGGGTGGTTGTCTAAGGAGGTGTTCTCTGCAGGACCATGAAACTCTCCTCCCAGCTTCCTCCTCATGTGCTGCGACTTATCCCAAAGCTATTCAGTGCTGCATGGGGTTAACCATGAGCCTTCTTTAGCTCTAACTCTCCACCTCTGAGTCCTTCCAGGACACTCATAAGCCATGTGCTATATTTGCCTAGCTGTTGTTATGAGGATGTTGACACAAGGGAAAATATCTGCCTGGAGAAGAGGGTGGACTGGCACCCTTTGAAATTAAATATGACCAAGCATCTGCAAAGGACTGAGTGGGTCAGTGTCACTGAGCATCCCTGAAGCCAAGGGCTGAGCAAATGAGGATACAGGCAGGGTACATACAACTCATTTCCCCTGTGTACCACATACCATCAAACATCTGACCCAGCCATGTCAGCATTTCCGTATTTCAAATGCTTAATTTAACTCCAGAAGCCTTTCCTGATTGATACCTGTGTGGGGGTTTCTCCCACAGCCAGGTCTAGACTGGGTAAACCTGCAATTATAACCACTCAGACACTGAATAGGACCCTGTACTCACAGCAAGACACCGGGTGTGAAAAGGAGGTCAAGCCACAAAAACTGGTTTTGCCAAAGTAGTCAGTCAGCTGTTCATCATGTCACCTGCTGAGGCTGATCAAAGAGCTTTGCAGTAAAGGGAATGTGGGTGTTCAGAGGGGATGGTCTCACAATAGCTGTGAGAGAAAGGGAGGAAAACCCAGGTGAAGTTTGGCTATCAGAAGGCAGCATTCTGAAATACACTTAAAGGTTCAAACCTAATTCAAATAACTCCAAGGAGCGGAGGAAAAGGTGCTTTTCTGAGATCCATGCACTTTTGTGCTCCCTGAAGTAAAACCAGATTATATGGCATCTGTTTGTTCAGTTCTCATGAGGCCCTGGAAACAGCTGTATCAAAAATGCAGAAACCTCTCAAGGGTGGAAAGGCATCTTGAGAGAAGAGCAGCCCTTCCCTCGTGCCAAAAGTAGCCTGAGGTTGCAGTGACACGTGCAATGTTCCTGCACACTTATTTTTCAAATTGATGGTCCAGGGCATGCTGAGTTGGGAATGCACAGGAGTAAAGGACTGCTGCACAACTGGCAGCAGAAAGTGAAGGTTTTGTAGCAGTTTTTCTTTCCAAGCATTCAGCACAAACAGGTATGCAAAAAAGTTCAAGAAGCAGCTGTGCACCCACCTCTTTCTTGTAGAGTCCATGCCAGGGACTTGACTCTAGTGGCACTCCCAAAACCTCCATCCTGCACCACTATGGGTGAAATAATCACCCCCACCAAACACTGCTGTCTCACTAAACCTGCTAATGCCAGGGTGGAATTTGGGGGTGGGAAGGCTGAAGTGTTGAACTCGAGATTAGAGCATTTTCCCGCTATCTGCACCACAAAGACAATGTGTCATGTGCTTGTGAGACTACAATTTAGGTTTGTTATCATCTCTTTATATCAAAAGGAAGTTATGCACACAAAGGAAACACCAAACCACCATGTCAGGGGGACTATAAATCACTTACTGCTGAATATGAAGAGGACAACAGAGTGCCCAGTAGGAAAGCAAGAGTTTTGAAAACTCTCCTTTTCCTCACCATCTCCCCATTTGGATAAACTTTGCTTTTATTTTGGAAGAGGATGAAGGAGAGCACAAGGTTTGAGGAACACAGCTACAAATGACACCAGATTTGTCCCATAAGCATGACTCAGGCCTGACTGTGTGCACTGGTCAATGCCTTCCCAGCCCTCAGCACATTTGCTGCTGTTGCCCAAGTTGATCCCATGGTGTCCAGAAAAGCCATAGAGGCAACGGTGCAGAGATTGCCTCAATGCTGCCACTTTCTGCCCTAGTAAAATGCAGGTTTATAAAAACCAAAAAATGGAGAAGTGGGATAATCAGCTCATCTGGCAGCAAGGGTCTGTTCTGTTTGCTTGCTCTGGTCTTACCAGCCTCCAAAAGGACATCCTGGGAAGACTGCAAAGAGCTCTCCACATCCTCTTCCCCTGGCAGGTGCCCAAAAGGATCCCGACAATTCTCCAAACCACATCCTTAAATCCCACTCCTGATGAAAGAAAAAAACTTCTGTATTTCCAAACTCTGTGACCTCCCAAAAAGTGTCAGCCCTGAAAGACATCACTCTGACTGCAAATGTTGCAGATTGTTTCTGTAGCTCATAAATTCAGAGGAATTATGATGGGGAAAAATAGGGAAGAAATCATTATTTTTAACATATGATTGCTGCTCAAAAGAATTATTGGGGAGGGGGGTAATTGTCTGGAGGATGGCATGATTCAGGACTGCTGACTTCCACTCCTCACTCATTCAAAGTCACCAAGTGAGTCAGTGGAAAAATCATTGAATTCAGCACAGTCAACAGAGTACCAACATTCATATTTAGGTTCCTAAATCAACAGTGTGGAAGATTTCAGCTCAAAGGCTAAAAGGTTCTACAAGTGAAGGCAGGATGCTACATTGCAAGCCTGCAGTAAATGCCATCCTAAACTCTGACACTTCAAATTCCAGTGGTTCTCATCCTAAATAAGTGTAACAGCACTCAGGGAAGTTTATTCCAATCCAAGCAGCAACAGGGTTCTCCGCAGCAGCTGAAGTATTACTCTGCAAAATAAATGTTTCTTTTGAATATAAAACACAGGACAGTCATAGCAGGCAAATCGTTAGTATGCAGGAGCTGCTGCCTTGAAGGTCTGCCACCAAAGGCTAATTAATTCTAGGTACCTTAACGATCACATCCCAGGGAAGCGCTATTCTGTGTCTGAGCAGAAGCTCTGTGTACAAACAGCACAACGTACAAACAGAAATCACACCTCTGAGAGAGAGCCTTTTCATTCAGAAAAGTCAGTCAGCTCCAACACGCTACTTACAAGAACCGGCACAGTAACCTGAATATGAGAAAAATAAAATTCAATACCTCGGTGAAAGTAACAGTAAGAGGGTTGTGCAGTGAGTGAGAGAAATCATTAAGAGAATAAATTGCTTAGCAGCTTGTAAATTGGCAGGACAGTGAAAGCAGAGATCAAATAAGAAATCTTGCAAATCCACAGGAAATTACTCAAGAAGCTAGATCAAGTAAAACTTCAGCCTCCAAGCCTCAGACACATTTACTTCTCCCCATCGGGGTAAATACGCACACGGACAACATAAGCACATAAAAATACATCCAGATCACACAGACAAGCTCTCAAGTGTTAATCAGACAGTGATTAATACCCATTCCACCTCAGAGGTATAACCATTATAATGGCTTTTTAATTACATGATTGTGCCCTGGGTTTTTCACAGGGCTATAACTCTCCCCATATTCTACTTCTGTAGCATCCAACTGCTAAATACCACGCTCTCCACTTCAGCAACATCAGTGGTCCCGCTGATCACAGACATTTTTGGCATGAAAAATTTTGAGGATGTCAGAGGTCTGTGCAATCTCAGCATCCTCTGGTGGAAAAAGAGACATAGGATGGGTGGAACTGTGTCAAATCATTACATCTGGTCTTTTATTGTACAGCAGCTGAAGACGTTCCTGCCATTTCCTTGCCCCCAACTGCTTACTACTGCCCTGACACTTCCTTTAGCTGCCAGCTCAGATTTGCCAAGATGTTTATCATGCCATTCTGCAAGATGGATCCTTGAATAACTTTCCAAAAGAAAGAGGTATTGGGGAGTATTATTAGCTGGGACCATTTAGCAGCTCCAGCAGTGTCACTCCTCAGCAGGGGATGCATTAGCATAGCCAAGGGGGTGACAAACTGTGCTTTGCAAAGGAATGGGTGGGAAGGGGGTGGGGGGATAGGCAGCACTGCCACCCAAAAGAGCACCCAAAATCTGCAAGAGGGAGGGCAGCAGGCTTGCGCTCTCACACGTTATCTGGTGTTATGGCCAAACCTCTAGCAGTGACAGGAACGTTCCTGTAATATTGTGCCACAAAGCTGCAGATTCTGGTACCACCTCTGAAGGACATGCTGCTTCTCCCTGAGGAGAAGACCTCAAAGCTTTCATCAGCTCCTGCTTCTATCTCATTGCTAGCAGTCCACAGATTTCTCTCCGAGTTTCCGCTTCTGTTCCTGAAAAGAAAATTTACAGCACTTAGAAACTGAAACCCAGCAGAGCAGAAACACAATTTCCACGCCAAAATCTGAAGGCCCCTTCAAGACTAAATCCCATAGACTGGACTTGAAAGTTAAATCAGAATGTGACTGCCTTAGGAACTGCAGCTATGTTGAGACTGAACATCCCAATGCAGTGAGAGCAGAGATGGCACATCTCCCTACCTGCAGTGGGAAAGGGATGCTGCAGTGGAGGAGCCTGCAAAAGCTGGAAGGCAAGGTGATGTGCTTAGGTGGTACAGACACATTTCTTCTCCCAGGATTCCCTGAGGACCTGATGTGGGAAGCAAAACCAAAACTCACAGCTAGTGACTTAACTTCAGGGGCCAAACTATCTTTTTGATAGCCAGCTCCTGTCGCCCCTCCTCTGTGGACCGAGCAAGTCCTGAGGGCAGATGTCATGGTGTAGCTATGAACACAACACAAGTTGGCAGAGTGTTTACAGTTATGGCACTGTTCATTGCAGATAAAAACATTTGAACTGACCTACGAGAAAAGCTGTACTATGTTACGCGCATGGACCACACAGAAATTCTGAATGTGGCTCTAAGGGGCGATTTGAGCTCTCGTAGAGGGCAAAGTAGGGTGGGAAGAACACAAGGGTGGTAAGAAAACAGCACCTGAACCTCGGGACATGCTGCTGTGGGGGCAACATTAGCTCCTGGGCTTCTTCTACTGACCAGCTGCCAGACCACTCACTGGGCACACGGCATCACGGTATGGAAACGCTTCCTATGGATCTCATCAGCCACAACGAGGAGTTGCACTGAGCCAGGATGCCCTGGGCCAGGGCAAGCTGAGCCAGGCTGGGCTGAACCCAGCCAGGCTGGGAGAAGTCAAGTTGAGGTGAGCCAAGATATCCAGAGAAGGGCAACAAAGCTGGTGAAGGGTCTGGAGCACAAGTCTCATGAGGAGTGCCTGAGAAAAGGAGGCTCAGGGGTGACCCTATCACTTTCTACAACTATTTGAAAGGAGCATCTGGCAAGGATGGGGTTGGGCTCTTCTCAAAGTCAGCCAGTGACAGGACAAGAAAACACTCTTATAGCCCGCCAGGAGAGTTTCGGGTTGGACATTAGGAGGAATTTCTTCACAGCACGGGTCATTAGACATTGGAACGGTGTGCCCGGGGAGGTGCTGGAGTCACTGTCCCCAGAGGTGTCTAAGGGAAGTCTGGCTGTGGCTCTCAGTGCCGCGCTCTGACGGACCCGGTGCTTGGACTCGATGATCCCAGAGGACTTTTCCAGCCTAATCGATTCCGTGATTTTTAAGCGCGGCCTGGCGGGGCTGAGCGGGGCCGCGTGAGGCCGAACCCGGGCAGCCGGGCCGGGGCGGGGCGGGCCGCGGGGCAGCAGCCGCAGCCGGGCGGGCCCCGCGGCTCCGGCCCGGCCGGGAGCGGCGGCGGGCGGGGCGCGGGGGCTGCGGCGCGGGGGGCGGCGCCGGCGGGCGGAGGCGAGCGCGGCGGGACCGCGCCCCGGGCGCCGCGCTGCGCCGCGGGGGCTCGGGGGGCCGGGCCGGGGCGGCGCCACCGCCGCCCGCGTCTCCTCCTTCCCCGCCGCCGCCGCTGCGGCTCCCTCCCTCCTCCCGCCCGGCTCCGGCGCTGCCCTGCCCGCTCCCGGCGGCCGCGGCAGCGCCGCCGCTTCCTGCCGGGGCTCCCCGCTCCCTCCCTCCCCGCCCGCTCCGCCGCCCCCCGCGGCGCCCCGCCATGGCGTGATCGCGGCCATGGGGCTGGCCCGGCGCCGCCGCCTGCCCCCGGGCGCTGCGCCGCTCCCCCGGGCCCGGACCCCGCGCCGCCGCCGCCGCCGCCGCGCCCCGCCGCGCCCCCGCGGCGCGCTGACCGCCGCCTCTCCTCCTCCTCCTCCGCCCCCGGCCGCCGCCGCCCGGCGACGAGCGCGGCCGTAGTCCCCCCCCCTTCTCCCCCCCCGCCGCCGCCCGCGCTCCCGCGCCGTCGGGCCCGGCGCGGCCGCCAGCCCCGGCCCGCCGCGGCGCGGCCTCCCTCGCCATGTGAAGCTCGGGAAGATGCGGAGGCGCAGCCCGGCCGCCCGCGGCGAGGGATGAGCCTAGACGGGGAGAAGATGACCGAGGAAGCCTACCCTGACGAGTGAGCGGGGCCGGGGGCGGCGGGCGGCTGGGGGGCACGGAACGGGGGGCGGCCTTTGTTGCCCCGGCGGGAGCCGGCGCGGGTCGCTCAGCGCCGTACCCCGCGCACGCGGGGACGGACGGACCGGCCGCGGGCGGACGGAGGGACGCGGACACGCGCGTTCGTGTGCGCGCCGCCCGCCCGCGCATCCGCCATTTCGCGCTCCCCCCGGGCCGCGCTCATTTGCATACGGCCCTTTCATTCATAAAAACCCCCGGGAGGGCGGCGCGGCCCCGCCGGGGTGCGGGGCCCCGGGGCACCGCAGGGAGGGGGCGCCGCCGCCGCTCCCCGCCCCGGCCGAGGGGCTCGGGGCGCCCGGCGGGGGCGGCGGGAGGCGGAAGCGGCGGGGAGGGGAGCGGGGAGCGGTGCGCGCCGCCGCCGCGCAGCCCCGGGCCGGGGGGGCTCGGGGAGCGGAGCCGGGGGGGGACACACGACGTCGCGGATCCCCGCCCCGGCCGCCGCCGTTTTGTGAATAGGAGGGCGGCCGCCGCCGCCGTCACATGACGCCGCATTCATAAACCCGGTCACCGGCGGCCTCCCCATTCACCGCCGCCCCCCGCCGCCCACCCCCGCTCCGCAGCGCTGCCGCCGCCTCCCCGCTGATGAACCCCCCCGAGGCTTTCAAAATGCGCGGCGGTGCCCTTTTCCCTTTTTTTTTTTTTTTTTTATTCCTTTAATGTTCCTACAGTAGAACTATATATACACATGCCATGATTTGATTTGCAGAATATGCTCACCAAATCTGTATTGCATGCATTAATGCTTTCTTCCCCCGAAATAAAACCTAAAGCTACTGCGGCGGAATGGCAGGAAGGGCTTTTTCACGCCGTGCTGGCCCAAGGGCTCTTCCTGGCTATCTCCTCCGGGGTTTTGACAGTCAAGAGGAATGACTCACTGGCGTGCAGGACTGGGCTGATGCCAAGCGCCATAGGATGTACCGTGCTTTAAAACGACTCCTTGCAGGGCTTACAGCGTCAAAATTGTGCAACTTTTTGGCTCGGTATTGAGGTCCGAAAAAAAATCATAATGGGTGGCATGTGCCCCGCTTGCACCTTCATCATGGTAAACTTATTTTAGGGTGATTTACTGGAGAAATACGAGTGGCGAAGGAAATGGCTTCTGCCCCCAACGTGCGTGTTGAGAGGAATTTGTTATTTTGGCAGCTCTTAATGAAGAAATTATAAATACGTGTTTACATGTAGCTTCTAAAATCGTGGTTATTTTGAAGTTGGTAAGGCTCTTGCAACAACAACAACAAAAGAAAGAAAAACCAAAACAAGCAAAAAAACCAAACAAAAATTACCAAAAGAGAAGTAGTTGCATACAGATTGCTTTGACCTAACAGGCTGGAAAAATGTGGCCAACTCATTTCCAATAAAAACCTGGTTCTTCATTTGGTTTGTTTGGGGCTTTTTTTTAAACTTTGTAAATTGGACAAGAGGAGGAGAAGTGGGTCCCTGTCTCTGGGTTTGAGAACACGGGGCCAAACCTAACCCAATTAATTGGACAACAATCTGGCGCTCACCAGCCTTCATCTTGAGGCACGATACCACTCCAAATGTGTTTTCTGCAGGGCTCGGTGCAGAGGTGAGTGTTGGTGTAAAATGCTGAGCACTTGGCTCCGATAGCTAGGTGGGGGATTTTTTTTTCCCCTGACTGTAGGCTGCAGTTTGTTTTGGGAGTGAATTTTTCCATGTGCTGCTGCACTGCCATGCTGACAGAGTCTTCACTAATGGTTTTCATGTGCGTGGAAGCTCTTGGGTCATGCCACCTCTCCTGGGGTCACCTGTCAAGCCAGCAGCACTGTGTGCTTTGGTCCCTTAGAGGTTGGGAGTGCTGGTGACCACAGGGAGCTGGTACCCAACCCATTCCCAGGCCACTGGAAGCTTTTTTGTTGGTGTCTGGATGTGTTGGCTTTCAGGGTCAGCGATGCCTCAGTGCACATCCCAAGTGGCTCTCCTGGAGGCCGTGGCTGGGCTGGCCTTGGCTTTGTAGGGCACAGCGAGGTGTTTTAGGTAAGCCATGGTTTCCTCTGTAAGCTCCTCGCTTCCAGCCTTGCATTGATTGATAGCGTTGCTGAAGTCGGTGACTCATGGGTTGTTTTTTCATTTCAGTGGTGGGTGAAGTGATTTGATTTTTTTTTTTTTTCTCCAATATATATGGTGTTAAAAGAAATAAGGACAGGCTCTCCTGATAAGTTTTCTCAAGCTGTCAGAACAATGGTAGTGTAGCGCGCTATTTGCCCTAGATATCTGGCTTTAATTTGCATAGCTATTCTTGTTTCACTGAGTGCACTGTGAGCAAATGTTAACAGCCAGATTACAAAAAAAAAAGGACCACTGTCAGGATGCCTTTTAAAATAACCCTCTTCAAGTAAATAACAAGGGTTTCCCCCCTTTTTTTAGTGGTTTCTTGAGAACAGGAGTTTCGAGTCAATTTGTAAAAGCGAGAAGGGAAACAAACAGGGTTTAGGATGCTGGAAACTCCTTGGTCCCTTCAGAACTGCACCATTTCGGGTCGATACTCAGAGGTCACTTTGTCATTGCCAAGCCAGCGCCTCTTCCTGCATCTCAGCCTTCCTTTCTGCTTCCCTGCTCGCCCCCGGCTCAGCCCGTGCTGCCTCGCACGTTGCAGGCTGGGGGCAGATCGGGGATGCCAGCTCATAAATCGGAGCCTGCGAGGCTGCACCCCAGCGCTGGCGGGATTTTTGGGCAGAAGACGTGGGCGACCCTACTCCGAAACCATCCCGGCTGGGCTGCCCCGTGGCTTTTCAGCCTGCGAGGAGGAGAAACGGAGCTGAACCCTCAAGCGAAGTGATGGGGTCGTGCCCGGAGGCTGCCGCCTGCTCGTTCCGATGCACGGTTCCAAGAAAGTCACAGGAAGTAATTAAATGGAAAAGGTCAGGGAACGAGGAAGTGTCGGTGCGCTGCTGGGATGGAGCCGCGATGCCTTGGCCCGGCTGTGTCCCCGGGATGTCCCCGGGGTGTCCCGGGGTGTCCCCGCCACTCCAGCGAGTCCCAGCCTAGTGGGATTGCTGCCCCGGAGCTTTTGAACCAGCTGCATTAAATGCCATATTCGTAGTGTTGCTCTGGTGGTGTCCCAGACAGCAAAACATGGTGTGAGATCACACCGGTGTGTTTTTCCAGTCTAAGGAAAGAAAACTTGCTCTTGCTGCTTCTTTTTGACCCAAAATCTCACTCCCCCCCCACATCTGAGCAGACACCAGCGATGTTCGCCCTGGATACTAAATCCAGCAGTGTTGCAGTTTGCCCATTGTGCTGAAAAAAATTATTTCCCTGCCCCCTTCATTTTCACTCCCATTTTTGCCCCATTCTTCTCTAAGCATTAAAGGCAGCTCATTCAGCTAAATTATTTTGCTGCAAGTTTCAGCCAGGGAGGAAGGCATGGGACACACTGTGTGTTATGACATTATTGCTCGCAAATAGGACAGGAAATGAAGGATTGCCAAAATATAACTGTTTATTTCTTGGCCTGAAAACATGCCTGTTTAAAATATGACATGTAAGTAGCTGCTTTGTTCGGTCTCTGGGAGAAGTTGTTGTTTATTGGGGAATAGTAGATCTGTCAGATGAAGAAGAGGGGAAGAGAATGAAGGGATTTGCCCTTTTTACTCTTCCTACTTCTGTTTTGGAAACGCCTTGAAAAGAAATTGTAGGTGGAAGATGTATGGAGAGGTGTTAGGTCAGACAGCTGGAAGGAAAGAGGGTTGCCACAAGAGGAAGGGAGCTGGATTTTTAATTTCTCAGCACATTAGACCCTGCTGTGGCCCTGTGCAGCCCATGGATAACCCAGACGTGGCACTGAAAAGGAGAAACCAAACCAACCTGCCTTTGGGCCAGAAAGTGAAGTTTTTTGGTGCAGCTCCCCTCCTTGAGTGCAGTGGGACAGTGTTTGAGTGCAGCATCTGTTCCAGCACTGGAATCATCTTTGACCTGTTTTTGCAGCCTGTTTTTTTATCTCACTGAGGCACACCCTGGAGCGTGGGTTAAAAGGTAGGTTTTATCTACCTGTTTAATTAAATCCTGAGGCTGCAAACAAAAGTGCGTTGTGTGGCAAGGCTCGCTCTTAACGTGGCCTTGGTTTGCTGTTCGCTGGATTTAAACCACAAAATTGTTTCCTGTCGGCCACCAAATTGCAGGGAGATGTCCTCCTTCTTTGGGACCAGGCTGGAAAATAGGAGCTCAGAAATGAGACACAACGTAACTACTGGTTTTAGTCACTCATTTTTCTTTCTTACACGCTCTGGCATACTTGAGGAATCGATACATTCAGTTTCCTTCCCTCCATCAGAATGGACATAGGAACTGCTCCCTACAGCAAATTCATTGAAAAGTGTGGCTTTTTTGTTTTTCTCTTTTTTTTCTCCCTTTTTAACAGCACAAGGTGATCTTTCTTGCAAGAACTGTGCAGGGGTGGAGAGGGCACAGAGATCAGTGAAACTAAAAGTACAGCTCTGGAGACTGTGTTTTTGATATATGCCCTGTTTGCTAAGTGGAGCATTTGATTTTTGTAGGACTTAGGCTTCTAAAGCAGTGTAGAATTTAAAAAAGAAGTAAAATAGAAAAGGTCAGTTGACTAAAAAAGGCACAGATAGACTGTGGAGTTGATTGACAGGAGATAGGAACTGCAGCAGGTCCCCATTTCTGTAGACTACCAAAAGCAAGCAAGAAGCTGTTATCACATAAATCCCAGCTCTGGAAAGAGAGGTCTGCTCCAAGCCTGGCAGCAAGCAGAGCAGGGCAGCATCTCCCAGCATCTTGCTTGCACTGCCCTTTTCTTTCTACTTTAACCATGGGTAAACTCAGCTGATGGTTTCTAATGATTTCTTTTTTTTTTTCTTTTTTTTTTTTTTTTTTTTTTTTTTTTTTTTTTTTTTTTTTTTTTTTTTTTTTTTTTTTTTTTTTTTTTTTACCTATTGGTTTCCTGCCAAGATCTTCTGAGTTTTCCTTCCTTCCCGTTTCTCTACCCACGTCCACCCCCTTTCCTTGTCAAATTTCCTTTAATCATTTATTTTTCTGGTGCTTGCTCAGTGCTGTAAACCTGAC